CATGAACTGACCACACCTCTGCCTGCTACCTGTACTATGGACCGTGTCCCTGCCTACTACCAGGACTGATATTTTGGCTGTGCTGACCATGTCTCTGCCTGGACAACTCATTTGGCTATTGCTGGCCATATCTCTTCCCGCTTCCTGGACCAATGCTTTGGCTGTGCTGGCAATATCTTTGCCTGCTGCCTGTACTGACTATGGACAGTATTCCTTCCTGCTGCCTGGGTGATGCCTGTCACTGTAGCTGACCACATCTCTGCTTGCTGCCTGGACCAATGCTCACCTCTGTGGACAACTGCACTACTAAAACCACAGGTAATTTTTTGGTTTACCCTTTTCTCAGCAGAATGTATTTTTGGGATTGTAATTTTTGCTATGTACATGCTATGTGTTAGAAGCCTGAAGGTGATACTTGGATGTTGGACCTCTGGATGTGACCAGGCTGTGGAAAAGTCTTACACATGTGTGGACATTTTCTGAAAACTCGTGGAAAAAAATGACGTGTTCAAAAGACTCGCTATACCTCATAGAATATACATTGGGTTGTTTGCTTTCCAAAATGGGGTCATTTTGTGGGTAATTCCATTGTCCTGGTGCTCCAGGGCCTTCAAAAATGTGATAGATAGTGAGGAAATGAGATGTGTAATTTATGCCTCTAGAACGCCTGTAGGTGCTACTTGGATGTTGGGCCTTTGTATGTGGCCAGACATTGGAAAAGTCTTATGCATGTGGTATCCCCATACTCAGGAGGAACGTATTTTTGGATGTAATTTGTATGTACATGCTATGTGTTAGAAATATCTTATAAATGGACAACTTTGTGTAAAAAAAAATACAGTTAGGTACATACAGTAATACCTCAGTTTAAGAATTTAATTCGTTCTGCAGGACTTTTCTTATAGCGAAAAATTCTTAAACCGAAACGCCGTTTCCCATAGGAATGCATTGAAAACCAATTAATCTGTTCCGGAGATCAGAAAAAAGTAAACACTAATAAATACAGCATGAGTTATTTTATCAAGTCATGCAGCATTTTAGTAGTGACAACCATGTGTTAATATTTCAGCTGTCAGTAGGGTTCCCCACTGACAGCTGAATGTAAAAGAATTGCCGGCAATTAAAAAAATAATTTAAAAAACTGCGTGGGGTCCCCCTTCCCATCCATACCAAGCCCTTTGTGTCTAGTATGGATTTTGAGGGGAACTCCCATGCCAAAATTTAAAACAAAATGGCGTGGGGGTCCTCCCCAAAATCCATACCAGACCCTCTTCAGAGCATGCAGCCTGGCAGGTCAGGAAAGGGGGGGGCAAACAATGTTTCTTTTTAGTTTCTTAAAAGAAACAACATTTCCGTTACCTTTGGGGAAAGTGACAGCTAATTCTGTGAGCTATACTGAAGAAAAAAAAAGAGCCAGCAATTGCATTTAAAAATCAGCACTGACATACACTTCGTATTGTGAAAAAAATTCATACAAAATTTGTAAACCGAGGCATTATTTTCAGTGGATTTTCATTTGTAAACCGAAAATTACTTTAACCGAGGCACAATTTTAGCTTTTTCAGGTATTTACCAAAACATATTCACGGTATAGTTATATGATGGATATGGGCTGAAAGTGCACACTCTCAGGTTTAATTTGAGGGTATGTACATCCAAATTGGTGGAAGGGTTTAGAAATTACAGCTCTTAAGAGAAGCCATCCCCCCCTTTTTCAAGGGACCAAAAGTAATTGAACGATTGAATCAAAAGCTGTTTCATGGCCACGTGTGGGCTACTCTTTCATTATTTCTTCATCACTTAAGCAGGTAAAAAGTCTGGAGTTGATTCTAAGTGTGGTATTTGCATTTGGAATCTATTGCTGTGAACCTACATTATTCGCTCAAAGGATCTGTCCATGCAAGTGCAACAGGCCATTGTAAGGCTTCAAAAAAATGAAACAAATCCATCAGAGAGATAGCAGCAACATTAGGAGTGGACAAATCAACAGTCTGGTACATTCTGAGGAAAGAAGAATGAACTGGTGAGCTCAGCAGCATAAACTTGCATGGATGTCCACGGAAGACAACAGTGGTGGATGATCATAGGCTCCTCTCTATGGTGAAGAAAAACCCATTCACAACATCCAGACAAGTGAAGGATACTCTCCAGGAGGTGGGCGTATCATTGTCAAAGTCTACAATCAATAGAAACCTTCACAAGAGCAAATACAGAGGGTTCACCACAAGGTGTAAACCATTTATAAGCCTAAAGAATAGAAAAGCCAGATTAGACTTTACCAAAAAACATCTTAAAAAGCCAGACCAGTTATGGAAAAGCATTTTTTGGATGGCTGAATCTAAGAGTAATCTGTACCAGAATGACGGGAAGAAAAAAGTGCGGAGAAGGCTTAGAACAGCTCATGATCCAAAGCACATAAAGTCATCTGTAAAACTTGGTGGAGGCAGTGTGATGGCATGGGCATGTATGGCTTCCAGTGGCACTGGGTCATTGGTGATATAGATATATTGTCAGCCAAGATTCAGCCAAATGCAGCAAAGTTGATTGGACAGCACTTCACAGTACAGATGGACAATGATCCAAAATACACTGCAAAAGCAACCCAGGAGCTTTTGAAGGAAAAGAAGATGAATATTCTGCAATGGCTGAGTCAATCACCTGATTTCAACCCAATTGAGCATGCATTTCACTTCCTGAAGGCAAAACTAAAGGCAGAAAGACCCACAAACAAAGAACAACTGAAGACAGCTCCAGTTAGAGCCCCACAAAGCATCAGAAAGGAGGAAAGCCAGTCTTTGGTAATGTCCAGGGTCAAACTGACCATTTGGAAACTCGGGCACTGCCCAAGGGCCTGGGTCAGTAGGGGGCCCCATGAGATGCTCCTGGTACCTTTTTCATAGGCTTTTTTGAGTTTGGGCAAGGACACAGGGGCCCCATGATCTCCTATGGCCCGGGGGCCCCATGAGTTGTCAGTCCGCCCCTGGTAATGTCCATGGGTTCCAGACTTCAGGCAGTCATTGCGAGTAGAGGATTCTCAACAAAATATTAAAAATTAACATTTTATTTATTATTATATTCATTTATCCAATTACATTTGAGCCCCTGAAAATGAAGGGAGTGTGTATTAAAATGGTTGCAGCTCCTAAAATTTGTACTTGATATTCATGTTCAACCCCTTGAAATAAAACTGAAAGTCTGCACTTAAAATTCATTTAGATTGTTTCATTTTAATTTATTCTGGTGGCATACAAAGCCAAAAGTATGAAAATTGTGCCTGTGTCCAAATATACAGTATATGGACCTAACTGTATATTTTCATTTTGTTTCCACATTTTCCAAAAACTTGTGGAAAAAAAAATGACATGTTCAAACGACTCATTATGCCTCATAGAATATACATTGGGGTGTTTGCTTTCCAAAATGGGTTCATTTTGTGGGTAATTCCATTGTCCTAGTGCTCCAGGGCCTTCAAAAGTGTAATAGGTAGTCAGGAAATTAAATGTGTACTTTATGTCTCTAGAACACCTAGGGACAGCTAGTCTCACACATGTGGTTTCCCCATACTCAGGAGGTGTAGCAGAATATGTTTTGGGGTGTAGCTGCAAGTATGCATATGCCGTGTGAGAGGAATAACCTGGTAATATAACAATTGTGTGAAAAAAAGGCAAATTTTAATTACTTTCTTAATTATCCAAAGAATTGTGGGAAAAAAATTAGAGGTTCAAAAAACTCACCATGCATCTTACTAAACACCTTGGAATGTCTACATTCCAAAAGGGAGTCATTTGGGGGGTATTTGTACTGTCCTAGCTTGTTAGAGTCGCAAGAAATGAGATAGGCCTTCAGTACATCAGGTTTGATCAGGTGAGATCAATTTTCAATGATTGGTACCATAGCTTGTAGACTCTATAACTTTCACACAGACCAAATAATACACACCAATTGGCATTATTTTTACCAAAGCAATGTAGCAAATTGGCCCAAATTTATTAAGATTAATTACTTATTTTCAAAATATTTTAACAGAAATGAAGAAAAATGCGTTTTTTTTTTCAAACTTTTTGTTTTTTTTTTAATTTATAGTGCAAAAAATAAAAATCCAGTGCTAATTAAATATCACCAAAAGAAAGCTCTATTTGTGTGAAAAAAAGGACAAAAATTTCATTTGGGTACAGCGTTGCATGACTAAGTAATTACCATTCAAAATGTACAAACAGGACATATAAACAAGGACCACTATAGGAGTTCTGGGGGAATTTCAGAGGATATATATATATATACATATATATATACTGTATATAATATATATATATATATATATATATATATATATACACTATAGAGCCAAAAGTATTGGGACACCTGCCTTTGCACATACATAAACTTTACTGGCATCCCAGTCTTAGTCAATAGGTTTCAATATTGAGTTGGCCCACCCTTTGCAGCTATAACAGCTTCAACTCTTCTGGGAAGGCTGTCCACAAGATTTAGGAGTGTGTCTATGGGAATGTTTGACCATTCTTCTGGAAACGCATTTGTGAGGTCACTGATGTCGGGTCAGAAGATCTGGCTCCCAGTCTCCATTCTAATTCATCCCAAAGGTGTTCTATCGGGTTGAGGTCAGGACGCTCTGCAGGTCAGTCAAGTTCCTCCACCCCAAACTTGCTCATCCATGTCTTTATGGACCTTGCTTTGTTCACTGGTGCGCAGTCATGTTAGAACAGGAAGGGACCATCCCCAAACTGTTCGCAAAAAGTTGGGAGAATTAAATTGACCAAAATGTCCTGGTATGCTGACGCCTTAAGAGTTCCATTCACTTGAACTAAGGGGCCAAGCCCAACCCCTGAAAAACAACCCCACACCATAAAACCCCCTCCACCAAACTGTAGACTTGGCACAATGCAAGTGCTGCTCTCCTGGCAACTGCCAAACTCAGACACATCCATTGGATTGCCAGACAGAGAAGCGTGATTCAGCAGTCCAGAAAACACATCTCCACTGCTCCTGCTGCTCAGCCATGGAAACCCATTCTATGAAGCTCTCTATGTACTATTGTTTGGGTAATCTGAAGGCCACACAAAGTTTGGAGGTCTTTAGCTATTAACTGTGCAGACAGTTGGCGACAGTTGCGCACTGTGCACTTCAGCAAGTGGGGTCCGCTCTGTCATTTTACGTGGCCCACCACTTCGTGGCTGAGTAGCTGTTGTTCCCAGTTGCTTCCACTTTGTTATAATACCAGTAATAGTTGACCATGGAATATTTAGTAGCAAGGAAATTTCACGGATGGACTTATTGCACAGGTGGCAGCCTATCACGGTACCATGCTTGAATTCACTGAGCTCCTGATCGCGACCCATTCTTTCATAGATGTTTGTAGAAGAAATCTGCATGCCTAGGTGCTTGATTTTATACACCTGTGGCCATGAAGGTGATTGGAGCACCTGAATCCAATGATTTGGAGGGGTGTTCTAATACTTTTGTCAATATAGTGTACATATATACTATATATTTTTATATATATATATATATATATATATATATACAGTTGTGTTCAAAATAATAGCAGTGTGTTGAAAAAAGTGAATAAAGCTCAAAATCCTTCTAATAGCTTTTATTTCCATACACACAAATGCATTGGGAACACTACACATTCTATTCCAATTCAAAACATGAAGAAAAATATATCAAATTTGTGTTGTTCCTCTAAAAAAATTGAAGAAAAGTGAATATTAGACTGTTCAAAAAATAGCAGTGTTTGTATTCTTCTTTACAAACTCAAACATTCATCGCTATATAAACTGAAAAATGTTTGAAGATTTTGCTTTCCTTTAAATCACTTAATAATATTTCGTTGTATAAGCACTGTTTCTGAGAACTGCTGTACATCTGTGTTGCATGGAGTCAACCAACTTCTGGCACCTGTGAACAGGTATTCCAGCCCAGGATGATTGGACTACATTCCACAGTTCTTCTCTATTTCTTGGTTTTGCCTCAGAAACTACATTTTTGATGTCACCCCACAAGTTTTCTATTGGATTAAGATCCGGGGATTGGGCTGGCCACTCCATAACGTCAATCTTGTTGGTCTGGAACCAAGATGTTGCACGTTTACTGGTGTGTTTGGGGTCGTTGTCTTGTTGGAACACCAATTTCAAGGGCATTTCCTCTTCAGCATAAGGCAGCATGACCTTTTCAAGTATTCTGATGTATTCAAACTGATCCATGATCCCTGGTATGCGATAAATAGGCCCAACACCGTAGTATGAGAAACATCCCCATATCATGATGCTTGCGCAACCATGCTTCACTGTCCTCACAGTGTACTGTGGCTTGAATTCAGTGTTTGGGGGTCGTCTGACAAACTGTCTCCGGCCACTAGACCCAAAAAGAACAATCTTACTTTCATCAGTCCACAAAATGTTGTGCCATTTCTCTTTAGGCCAGTCAATGTGCTCTTTGGCAAATTGTAACCTCTTCAGCACATCTTTTTTTCAACAGTGGGACTTTGCGGGGGCTTCTTGCAGATAGCTTGGCTTCACATAGGCGTCTTCTAATTGTAACAGTACTCACAGGTAACTTTAGACCTTCTTTGATCTTCCTGGAGCTGATTGTTGGCTGAGTCCTTGCCATTTTGGCTATTCTTCTATCCATTCGAATGGTAGTTTTTCGCTTTCTTCCACGTCTTTCAGGTTTTGGTTGCCATTTTAAAGCATTTGTGATCATTTTAGCTGAGCAGCCTATCATTTTCTGCACTTCTTTATAGGTTTTCCCCTCTCCAATCAACTTTTTAATCAAGGTACGCTGTTCTTCTGAACAATGTCTGGAACGACCCATTTTCCTCAGAATTTCAGAGAGAAATGCACTGTAACCAGCATGTACAACATTTGCTGCCTTCCTTTCTTAAATAAGGGCAATAATTGCCACCTGTTTTTCAAAGAATGAATGACCTCACTAATAGAACTCCACACTGCTATTATTTTGAACATGCCCCTTTCAATTAGTGATTCAATTACACAGAATCAGCAGCATGCATGTCATGACTGTTGGGTCTGTTGGGTTTCTATTACTCTATTACACCTGCTAGTAAATTATTTGCCATGTAGAAATATCATTTCTACCAAAAACAGTGATTGATCAGGTTAGTGATGTCTGACTGCTATTATTTTGAACACAACTGTATATATATATATATATATATATATATGCATTAGGGTATATATAGGTGCTGATACTGTGCATTTGCTCGAGTGTAGGTACTCGTGCAAATGCACCGATACCAAAAACCAATACCTTAAGGTTCAGTTCTTTCAGCTGTCAGCGGGATTCCCCCACAGACAGCTGAAATGTAAAAGAAAGCATGGCAGCATTCTTCCGTTGTTAAGGACTGGGGCCACCGATGACATTTCAGCTGTCAGCCTCCCTGTCCCCTCCTGCCTCCTCCTCCCACCAAGGCCAGCACCAGCAAAAGGCATCACAGGCAGGGCCCTGAGCAGGTAATCCATATGGTGTAATGCGGGGACATCATTCTCCACCAATTTACACCAATCAGGGATGGAGATCCTTTCCTGTCTCCTGGTGAGAAGTGATCAGCACACTGGATAGGGGGGGTTCTCATAAGATGACACATAGCCTGCACTGCACACATGTCATCAGACAGCACATTTACACACATCTATGGAACAACTTTCATATCATGTTCAAGAACTCCTTAAAAACATTTTTTTTCCCATTCAGTGGAGCTGTGCCTGCAATAGGTATCTGTAATTGGTATCGGCGAGTACTTTAAAAAAAGAATCAGTACTCATACTCCATGTTAAAAAAATGGTATTGGTGCATCCCTAATATATAGTATATATTATGCTCAACATTCTATATACCCTGGCAAAAATCATGAAATTTTGTCATTGATATTGAAAATATGACTGATAATGCCAAACTTAATATTTTATTGAAGGATAGTGATCATATGAAGCCATTCATTATCTCATAGTTGTTTGGCTCCTTTTTAAATCATAATGATAACAGAAATCACCCAAATGGCCATGATCAAAAGTTTACATACCCTGGAATGTTAGGTCTTGGTACAGACACACAAGGTGACACACACAGATTCAAATGGCAATTAAAGGTTAATTTCCTACATGTGTGGCTTTGTAAATTGCAAATAATGTCTGTGTAAAAACAGTCAATTAGTTTTAGCAGAAAAGAACCATCAAAAGACCTGTATAACAAGATAATGAAACTTTAAAATGATGGAAAAGGATATAAAAAGATATCCAAAGTCTTGAATATGCCAGTTAGTACTGTTCAATCGCTTATTAAGAAATGAAAAATTCTGGGATTTATTTATAGCAAGTCAAGGCCAGATAGACCAAGAAAGATTGCAACCAAAACTGCCAGAATTGTTCGGGATCCAAAGAAAAACCTACCGGTAACCTCACTGACAACTCATCGGGCCCCCGGGCAATAGGGGATCATGGGGCCCCTGTGTCCTTGCCCAAACTCAAAAAAGGCTATGAAAAAGGTACCAGGGGCATCTCATGGGGCCCCTTACTTACCTCGGGCCCTCGGGCAGTGCCCGAGTTTCCAAATGGTCAGTCCGCCCCTGATAGCAGTCCTGTGACTTCTAACAATGTTCAGCAGAGCACTGGTTAAAGTTTGTAGGAGGAGTTTTCATTTGGCTCTAGGAGGATGCAGAACCCCTGACCTCTATCTGGACAGTGCTGATTGGCCCTGAGATGATCACATGCACTCTCCCCCCCAAAAAAAAAACCTCTCTAGCAATACACACCAAACTGAGCATGTGAAGAGTGTCTCCACATATATGTCTTATCAGGAGATAAAAGGGAACACTGCGAGAAGGGGAGGATCAGAGAAGTCAGGATCAAACAGCATTTTTACACAATGCAGAGGATTAATCCTTTAGGTTCCACAGTGAGCATAACAAGCATGCTTTACTGCTTATGCAGACTGATTTTACTGTTGTGGGTTTAGTAACATTTTAAGCAAACTTGCTGTCACAATGACCTTAAAGGAACACAGTGGGAAAAACTATGGCAAACCCATTTCTCTCTCTATTAAATAAAAGAATTTGAGTGGGGTTCTACTTTAATGTTGAGCTCTGGAACAATGTAGCATTGCATGTCACAAGTAAACATGTTACTATGGCTTTTTATTTGTTTTGTTTTTTTCTTTTAAACTACATATGCCATATAAGCAAAGAATCAGGGGTCTTCTGAGAAAAACGTAAACTACAACCAAGTAGATTTTCCTGAAATCTTTTATGTCTCAACTTAACCATTGTTGGCCTCAGGGCTCCTCTAACATCTGTCATATTCATATCAAGAGCCAATAGCTAGGCTTAAAGACTATTGCTCATCACTAAGGTTTTACAGACAATGAATAGGAGGAATGAAAATATCATAATTCTTTGCATTTTTTTGGTTTATAGAAACACCTGGGATCACAGGTCCTGAGGCCAGTCATATCTTTGGCTCCTAGTGACCTAACAGCTGTGTAACTCTCTATATTGTATTTGATGGACAATCAGTTGCTATGCAGTTTGCTGTTTTAACAGTTAATTGTCTTCAGTGTGTCAGACCAGAAAAAAATGGCTATTAACTATAAAAGTTTTACTCTTGAAATAATAGTGTTACGGTTAGAAAAATAATTATTTGATCCCCTGCAGATTTTGTAAGTTTGCCCACTTACAAGGGTCTATAATTTTTATCATAGGTGTATTTTAAATGATAAAGACAGAATATGAACCCAAATCCAGAAAAAAAAAACACATGATACAAATGTTATAAATTGAATTGCAGTTCAGTGAGTCAAATAAGTATTTGATCCCCTACCAACCAACAATAATTCTGGCTTCCACAGACTGGCTATGTGCTCATGTGGTACACAGATTCGTCCTGTCAATTTAAGAAGGTGCTCCTAAAGACAACTCGTTACGTGTATAACAGACACCTCTCCACAGAATCTCTTTCTCCCAATTCAAACCCCACCATCATGGGCAAATGACTAAAGAGCTGTCAAAAGACATCAGGGACAAGATTATAGACCTGCACAAGGCTGGAATGAGCTACAAGACCATCAGCAAGAAGCTTGGTGAGAAGGAGACAATTGCTGGAGCGATTATTCAGAAATGGAAGAAATACAAAGTAACCATCTCTCCCCCTTGGTCTGGAGCTCCATGCAAGATTTCACCTCATGGAGTAAGGGTCATCATGAGAAAAGTGAGGGATCAGCCCAAATCTACACCGGAGGATCTTGTGAATGATCTCAAGGCAGTTGGGAGCACAGTTACAAAACAAACCATTGATAACACAATACGCTGCCATGGATTGCAATCCTGCAGCGCCTGCAAGGTCCCCCTCCTCAAGAA